AAACAAAGAAACTAACAAGATAATGCTAGAACAAAAAAAAAAGTCAATAAAATAAATTTGAAAAAGATGGCTTACAAAAAGTGGAGCAATGACATCAATCGCTCGTTGAAATTGATGAAGAAAATTAATAAATTGTAGAATATAAATATTCTTATGTCGATTGGAACGATCATCGATCATTCTTTTCATCTAATAAAATTTTTAATAGATTTTCGTTTTGAACGTATAGTTTTGGTAAAATCTTACACTTTCATCTAATTGCACTTTGATATTCTGACAATGTTCTATGATAAGTTTTTTAAGATCATCAAAAAGTCGTTCTTTATAACCTTTACATGTACTTTTATATATCTGACTAGAATTTAAAATAGATATGCAATTAAAAAATTTCTTATTTAATTTTTTTCACCAATAAATAGTTTGATAGGACATTGATTGAAAATTTTCACTTGAATTTTGAAGAAATTGTTTGAGACTTTCATGAATTTGTGTCCAGGCTTCTGTTAGATATTCAGATTCGGAATATTTTGTAAATACTATAAATATATATATAGATGGTATTGTTCATATAAAGAAAATTTACATACAAAATCGAAGAAAATCATAACCTTCAGCCATAATAAAGATTTCTACAATGATTGATAATCAGAATTTTTAGTTAACTATTTCTGTAAAAGAAAATTATGTTTTATTTTAAAAATCTATATACAATTCATTTAAGAAAAGATCAGACTTTGTGGAGAGTGAAAATAATAATCACTAGAAATATAACGACAATCAGTTTATATAAACGAAGTGAGAGGTATTATTTTCGTTTCAATAAGAAATCTCAAGAGTAGAGGGCGCCAATTACTTATTGATAATCTTGAAGTTTTCTGAAGAGATGAACCAGTATTTCTGAGAATTGTTTGATAAAATACACAGAATTAGAATAATATGTTCAAGTACTACTGATAATATTTGGTAACTACCACTGATATCATATATACTATTTAATGCGATGCGAAGCAGAGCATTTATGGATGTGGGTGTGGGTGTGGATGAGCTAGTCTTATATTTATTTCAGATCCACACCCACACCCTCGTATTTCCTATGACACCTCGTTGATATCTGCGTTCTATATCCTTGCGAATTTGACAAAGATCCTGTCAGAATTCCTTGTGTGTTTGGCTGAAAGAAGTGAGCAAAACATGCAGGCATTTTCTACGAACACAACTTACTCTCATCTCACATTATACCTCCAGAAAAATTTCTATTTATTTGTGCTGTAACACTTTTTTTCCGGAAAAGAAACTTGTCCATCATCATAATTTTATTTTCCTTGTTTGAAGAATTTTTTTTACTCATTTCTGCATTTTCCTTTCGAAAGAAAAACTTATTTATTCTCATCCTCACCGACTCTTTCGAGGAAAAGAAACTTGTTTATCGGCATTCATGCATTCTCATAGGCAGACGTATTTTTCTTGCTCTTCTTCCTATGCTCTCCTTCCAGAAAAAAACATTTCTTTTTACTTCAGTCTTTTACGCAAAAAAAACGTGTTTATCATCGTTCTTATATTCTCAACATTGTAAGAAATATTTTTTGCTCTCCTTTTTAAATTTTTTCCAGAAAAAAACTTCTCTATTCTCGTTCTCACTCTTTCCCGGAAAAAAGTTGTCTATCATCGCTCTTACATTCTCAATATTGAAAGGAATATTTTTTTTGCTCAGATTGTTAAATTTTCTTTTTCAGAAAAAAATTTTGTTGCCCTCGTAAAAAGAAAGGGAAACTTTCATAACTCAGTGGTACGTAGTAAGTATGCTGTTATTATTTTGTCTTTCGGTGGATAGATGTACAGACTGAAGATGAATTCGAGTACTTATCGATTCAGTAGAATTTTTAACTAGTCGTGATCGTAACGATGAGTTAAACAGTCTCTTCTTCATATACCTTAGCGTCAGTATAAAGGAGATAATCTACTTCACCACAGTAAGTACCTTGTAGAGTTTAGGATTTAGCGCAAGAAAGAGTGTAAAGATAATAATCTCTTGACTACATCTCGTAACGTAACAGTGAAAGGAATAATTTCATAATCGTAATAAACAGCCACATCTGAAACTTTGCAGAATATGATATTAGTTTCAAATTCTAATAATTATACTTAATCTTTGCAAATGTGTTTAACAGAAAAGTCGAAAAGCTAGATGAGTGTGGATGTGAACATGGGTGTGTGTATGAGGGTGTGAATGTGAGATAAGAACAAGGCTCACACCCACACCCTCAAATAAAATACGAAATTCCATTCTTTACTCAATATCAGAAAGTCCTATGTCCTTTCTTCTATGCACAAATTTTCTTTTTTACTAGATGAACAAATTGAAAAATTCAATTTAGAAAACATTTGACGGAATGGGTGTGGGTGAGGGTGTGAAATGATACAAGTAGCAACACTCATCTACATTCTTCTCACACTATAATAACAAGCGATTGATAGATTTTCTAAATTATTCTAATAGTTATTGCTTGACCAATAATATATAGATAAACTAGCAAATCTACGTAATTTTTCGACACGTTACCCTCGATGGACAAGAGAATTGCATAATCTTTTCCGCGCCCGAACATTACAAAAAATATACAACACATTTTATTTTAATGTATGGGCTACAAAAAAAACATTTACATAGTTTTTTTTCTTTCTTTCTTTCTTTCGAGAAAGAAAACAAATGAACACTTTAAACTAGAACCAAAAGGGGAGAACCTCTTTACTTCAAAATCTGCCTCACTACTATCACGGTTTAAAATAACTGTCTTAATTATTTTTCTCGTGAGACGACTATATACATTAAATTATTCATAGTTCGTTTAAGATGCATCGCTTTACTGATATCGAATCAACGCCAAAACGACTACCGCCTGTCTATGGCTATTTGAATCATCCATTACTGCCTCTATCAAAAGCTCTCGAGCCAATCTCGTCGTTAATTGATCAACTAGATCGTTTTGGCAAAATCGCGAAAAATGAGTGCCATTTTCCTTCCGAATATGGACTTACTCGTGACGAGTCAGCTGCTGTTTATCTTTATACAATGGAATGGGGAGAAAATAGTTTCTATCGAATAATCAATCGTGCACTACGTGCTGAAGATCGATCGACATTAAAACCGTGGTTCGCTTACCTTAAGCTATTCGATGTAGCAGTACAAAAGTTACCAACTATTCGAAAGAATCTTTGGCGTGGGGTTCCGAAAGATGTAACGACAAACTTTAAGAAAGGCGATGAATTTACTTGGTGGACTATCAGTTCATGTTCGACTTCTGTTAATATTATCAAGAATTTTCTTGGACCAAATTCAACCTTATTCTTGATTGAAGCAATCAATGGAAAAGATGTATCGAGTTGTACCAATTATCCAAATGAAGATGAAGTCATTCTTTGTCCAGGTACACGATTTCGTGTTGTTAGTGATCCTTTAGATCAGCCACCGATGCACTTAATCCATTTACAAGAAATTAGTGATGATGACGAAGAATCACTGTCAACAGGTCTTAAAACGATGACAGTGACAACAACATCGAATACTACATCCACCCATACACTGACTAATGTTCAATCTTCACAGATACATACTCATACTGATGAATCGGGTAATAGATACGAAGGAGAAATGAAAGGAGAGAAAAGACATGGTAAAGGTCAGATGGATTATGCAGATGGTGATAAATACATAGGTATGTGGGTGGAAGGAAACATAACAGGTCAAGGTGTCTACATTGATGCTAATGGTAGTCGGTACGAGGGACAATGGAAAGACAACAAGCAGCATGGAAAAGGTAAACTGATATGGGGACCGAAAACCAAATCGGCAGGCCACATGTATGAGGGTGACTGGATCGAAAACAACAGAACAGGTCAAGGGGTCTACATTCACGCTAATGGTAATCGGTATGAGGGACAATTCAAAGACAACAAGCAGCATGGAAAAGGTAAAATGAGCTGGGGACCGAAAACTCAATGGGCAGGCGATATCTACGAGGGTGATTATATCGATGACAACAAAACAGGTCAAGGTGTCTACATTTATGCTAGTGGTAATCGCTATGAGGGACAATGGAAAGACAACAAGAAGCATGGTAAAGGTAAAATGGATTTTGCCAATGGCGATAAATACACCGGTGATTATATCGAAGACAAAATGACAGGTCAAGGTGTCTTCATTTTTGCTAGTGGTGATCGATATGAGAGGACAATGGAAAGACAACAATATGCATGGAAAAGGTAAAATGATATATGCCAATGGTGTAGTGAAAGAGGGAATGTGGTCGAATGATAACTTTATCGGCTAATCGTCTGAAGGGACGAACGTTTGACGTATATGGACCGAAGTTTTTTAGATAAACTCATTTGTTTTGTACTTTCATTTCATCAGTATTTCTTTTAAAATAAAGAAATATTATTTTGGCAATCGATATTTTTGCACGGGATCTAGGACTTGTTCTACGCGTACCGATTGTTTTCATAGTTCATTAGAACAGAGTGGGATTTTTAGAAAAATATTTTTGCTCTTTTAATGATAAGGAAATAAGAATTCTATATTAGTAGATCAGTATATATTTCAATGTAAGACAAGATGTGCAAGGGACATAATAACTTGTATATAGATATTAATTGATGTTTTAAATAAGCATTACAATTCATTCGTCATATTAAGTCTTTATAAAAGTTATCTACCCGCAGATCGCACTGCCAATATAAAGGTACATCAGAATTCTTTTTGTTACAATAGATCTTTTTTGAAATATAAAAGATATGTTGCAAATCTGGTATATTGAAACACATTACATGAGATTTGAATAGCTGGCAATTCTATACAGTTCATCTCTAATGTTTTTAATTGATATACTTAGAATACGAGACAATTTATATCGAATTGAGTTTCAGAAATCAATATCGGTCTTCTTACATATAAGTAATAAACCTGAAAAATAACAATCCATGTCTCTAATAAAGACTAACAATAAAGATCGGTACCACCAAATTATAAGAGAATTTAAGGATGTGAGTGTGATATAAATATGATATATATACCCATACCTATACCGTCACCCGATTTCGATGAACTCATCTGTTGAATTAACGTCATCTGTATATTAATAGTATATAAATTTGACTGTATTCTAGTATAATCGCGAACATTGAGAAATCTGTGAAAATCTTAAAATCATGATTTCGGCATCGAGCCTCGCATCACATTTCGAAGTGAAGTAAAACTTGAGTACCATCTAGTTGCATTGTAGACAGGTTTTGAATGTTTATATAAAATAAAGAGAAACTGCTATTCAATAACTTTTCTATTCGATTGAATATGAAAGATCATGCAATTTACACAATAGCTTCGAGTTATAAATTGGTTAGACTCGTTTCTATGGCACGTTATGAATTATTCTAGTATCCATTAAATATGATCATTATATCATGTGTTCTAATATGAGTAGATTACTTATTGTAACAACTTAAGTGAATTAAAACCTAGCACATATAAGATTGACAACAGCATTTTACACGACTTTTTATTATTAAGAAAGTAGAAGATGTTAGCTAATTAGTATCATTCTTTTTATCCGACAAATAAATGCAGATAAATTTAATCTGTGCTATTATATAGAATATAAGAATTAGAACAAGATTCACTATGACATTACTGAGTATTTTTTTCGAACTGATTTGATATTATCGATTCTCACCATTGCATAAGTGAAAATTTATTGCAAGAAATTTGTTAAATAATAATAGTAATAGCTTCAAATTAATGCTTTAATTTATAAAAGAATTTTATTTTGTGAATACAGAAAATTATAAATTATTCTTATGAGTTTTTATGTTTAGATGAATAATTGAGATTAAAATCTCGTATTTGTTATTATTTAACCAATTGTTGGGGTACTTGCAACAATATCTTTATCAGTAATAATAACACGGACACGATCTGTGCGAAAATCCATTGTCATTGGTGATCCTTCTTGAATTGTTACGACATTTGTAAATCCTAATGTAATTTTTGAAAAATAAATTCCTTTCTACATTATTAAAATTCTACCTGTTTCTTGCTTGATTATTTTAACTGCATCTTCACCTTTTTCACCGACTAATTCAGGCCATTGCTGTTTACTAACCGAAGGAGTTGTTTCTGGAGATATAAATTAATTCTGATAAACTGTTTTCAATAATTTTATTAGCTTACTTTTAATAAGTATGACAGGTACATCAATATATTTAGTACGACCAGTACCTAATGGTATTACTTGAGCAATTACATCATTGATATATAATAATTCATTCTTTTTATTTCGAATAGACACACTAAGTGAATAACGATGTCCTTCTGTAATTTGTAAAGGTAAAAATTTAATAGTAAATTCTTTTGGAAATTCAGCTATATCATCGACTACTTTAGTAATAACTTTAGCTGCGGCATCAGCATGTGCTATATCTTGTAATTCTACAGTTAATTTAGCATCGGATTCAATGACAGTTTTAGGACTATCAGGAAATGTAATACTACCGCGTATAAAAACTTTTTGTCCATCTTTGCAAGTGAGTGCTACACCTTAAATAATTACGAATGATTAAATTAAAAGTAACTATTACATATTAATATACATACTATTTAGTACAAGCATACTAATTGTAGCGATGAGTAAACAAAGCATGCGTAATGTATTCATAATTCAATCTAAAAGAATAAATAACTAGAGAAATGATTTCTTTCAATAAGGTAATAAGTTGCACTGCATCATGTATATATATTTTTGTATAAAAGAGAGTCATGATATACATACGATAGTTTGTTATAATAGCATGTTCTTCGTTTACGATATTCTGAAATAGAATTATATATTATTTTATTTCGGAAGGTTATATACTCATCAGATATCTTTGTGTGAAAATGTACCTAAGAATGAAGAAAAAACGCATAAAGATATTAATACATCCTTGTACATCTGTCATTATTTTGCAGTTGAATGATGCGATAGATGATTTAATTACAAATAGGTACATATTTGTTTTTTTTTGTATCATTAAATCGAGCTGTTTCGAATACATCCACACCATCTGTTATGAGAATTACATGACAAGGCTTTTTCTTTATAATGTTACAGAACATTCTGCATGAAAACAAAAAATAATGTGATGATATTCTCTACAATAATTGACGAAGCAAATTGTAGGTTTAGATTTGCACTAAAGAAATATCAAGAGTAAAATATTACATTTGATTATTGTTTGATTTCTGAAAGATGAAACATAAAAAATATGTGATGTGAAAATGCCATTGAAAGTTATAAAATTAGTCTATTTCTATGTCGGAGAAGTTAGCAACATATTCGTCTGAGAAGGTGTTCCAATAAGTGATCTAAGTAGAACTCGACGAGCTCTATTGAATAGTAATCACGAAATCTCCATAATTCAAACCATGTATGGTAAAATACTGGCTGTGCTCAATGCGGTTACGACAACTTGTTTTTCTGATGATGAGTTTTGAACAGATGACATTTTTTGAGAAGATATTCTGTTTTATAACTAGCTATTTTAGAGTAAGTTAGTATTTTATTAACAATCTCTACGTAAAAAACTACAAAAATAAATATATAAATGATGATGTTGATGATGATTTTGAATAATGATTTATTTTATTTGTTTTGTGAAAATGCTCTTAATAAGTCGTAGAGACTACCCATATTCCCTTGCGATGATGGTGCTGTTGATTTGATTGTTACAAATTTTAAATTAGATTGCAATAAAAAAAGCCACTAATTTTATCTTTAGTTTTGAAAATAAAGAGTTCTTTTATCTTTATTTTAAAAAGATCAATAGGAACGCTGTCTATCTTGAAGGACCAAAAGTAAAAATTTTCTTCATATTTTTTTAATAATAATTCTTTTTAAAGCTATTTATCTGTATCTAATTAACATGACAAAAACTTACAAATCTTTTTTTATAATTATAAAGATTTCATTTTTATTTATTCTTAGAAATTTAGATGTATAATAAGCTGAAATTATGACTAAAATAAATGAATTTTGAGTTTGAATTTAATTTTTCTATTTTATTTGTTTGAGTAGTTTTCTTGAGTCTAAGCACCTGAAAAAAAAATTCCACGAAAAAAAGATAAGAAGAATATTAAACTAATATTTGTATTCGTTTTGAGCTAATTTTTTTATTGTAATCTTAGCTGAAGATAATCCACTTGTACCAAATCATACAGCTCGTCAAGTCGTACTTGGAACACTAATCGGGACAGTTGGAACACTTTCCTAAACCAGTATGGGAAAGCTTAATAAGTGGTTGCAATAACTATCGTGAAGCGATTTGGTATATAATGTCTTCTCAACATACGAATAGAGTTATCGAGTAACTGAGGTTACCACTTGGTAGAGCTCGTCGAATTGTACTTGGGATACTTGTTGGAACTGTCATAGTACTTTATCAAACGAGGATGGGAAGATTTTACTAAGTAGTTGCTGTAACTACCCTAGTAAAAAACCATTATTCTATGATTTCCGAAGACAAGTTTGAGCTATAGAGATTTCAAGATTACCATTCGATAGAGCTCGTCGAGTTCCACTTGAAACACATACTGGAGCACCCACAATATCTTCTTAAACGAATACGGGAAGGTTTTAGTCGGAATATGGTGCCAACTTCACCTACGCACAGTTACAATGGATGCATCAATACAGAATAATTTATCAAAATCATTAATACTAATGAAAGGTAATAAATTACAAAATATATCGGATTCAATATCTTTAATAAAACAATCAGTTTTTAATAAAAATAAATTCTTCATTTAATTTATCAAATCATAATTCAAAGATATTTATTAATGATTTATTAAATAATTATTGTTTAAATAAGAAATAATCAATGATACAAAAAGTTTAATAAATATAAATAAATGAAAACTTATTTTCACCAATTGATTTTATAAATGATATTAATAACAACGATCAACAATTAATTAATACAATTGAACAATTTAATTATTTATCAGCCCAATATGCTTTATTAGCAATTAAATATTTATTAAATATCGTAAATTTAAAATTAATTAATTAAGAAAAACTTCAATTATATATTCTTTATGATGACTTTTATTATAAAAAATTATTTAATGCATTGATTGAACTTATTCAAAAATATAAATTAATTGATAAAAATGGTCAAATAATAAAATTAATAACAAACCATTCAATAGATATTGAAAGAGAGCAATTATCAGAAGAATATCCAAAATTAAATTCAATTTCAAAAATAATTTATATTATTGGTCCACGGTTAGGTTCAATTCTTATCGGTAATAAGAATATTCATGAGATTTTATTTAATAAAAAAGAAAATAAATCAATTGTACAAGATTTATAAATATGTTTATCAGCAATTAAAATAGATACAATTTCATAACTATCTATTAAATATATTCCTTCGTCATTATCATCATTACTTTTATTGATTATTACAAATGGAACTTATACAGTAATAAAGCTAATTTTATTAAAATATTTAAGATCAGTGGAAAAAAAATCTAAATATTAACATAGTTTATGCCGATAAGACAGAAACACTTTTAAATGAAGTTAAACAAGTATCTGAAAATATAATTTCTTATGAATTAATTAAAATAACATATGAAATAGTTGATATTGAATATGAATTAGATAAATCAAAAATAAATAGTGAACAATTTCATATGATATTTTCAATACAATTTATTACATACAATAAATAATGTAAGTCAATCATTAGAAATACTTTGTTATTATTTAATACCAAATGGTCTTTTATTTCTTATCGAATTAACTTATTCTTATGAATATTTTGATTTGTTATTTGATTTATTTTAATATTGGTGGAATCAACGTGATACTGGTCGAGTCTTACTTTTAAATATCAATAGAAACAAACATTTGAATCTATTCATGAATTTGATTCATTTATTATATCATTATCAGATAGTAATCAATTTGATGATTCAGTAATAATTATACAAAAATCATTCTCATCATCTTTAATTCTTAATAAATTACCTGAAAGGTAAGAACAAAAATGGTTATTATTTTCTGATAAATAATCAAGTTTAAGAAATACATTAATATCATCAATTCCATGTTTAAATATATCTATAATTGATTATCATATTGGCGAAAATGAAATATATCTAACAATAAAACAATTAATGGGAAATTATAAACGAATAAATATTATATTTGTGTACTCATTAGATATACCTTTAGACAATCACTTATTTCAATGGCAAGAAGATAAATTATGTGCAATATTAATAAATCTGTTACAAACAATTTAACATTATCATGAAAAAGAAAATCTATTTCCACATATTTATATTTTAACTGAAAATTATAATTCAATTAGACAAAATCTAAATCCATTAGTTGGACCAGTAATTGATTTAGCAGGTAGTTTAAATAATAATAAATTCTTATCTTATCATATAAAACTATTTGATTTACAACCATCAATTAATATTTATAAAGGTAAAGATATGTCAATAAAATGATAATCTTGATAAAACTATTATTTCACAAGACAGAAATCATTCTATTAATTGTTATCAATAGAATTCTCATCGAATTTGATCAAACATATCACAAAATTCAAATGAAATCACAATTATACCAAAGGATGATGCAGATAATTATCGATTTAAACTTCAAATTCCATCATCACCTTTTCGTTCTGATCAAATTTGGATAAATGCTTCATCAATAATATCATCACTTGAAAATGATCAAATAAAACTTCGTATTCATTGTATTGGTGTTAATTTTCATGATATTGTAAAAGTACAACGATTATATCCATATACAGATAAATTTGGTTTATTAGAAAAAGATTGATTAATTCTTAATCGAGGTGATTTACCTGGTTTAGATTCGATGGGCACTGTTATTCGTTCTAATTCAAATCAACTTCATATCGATGATCGAGTTTTTGGTTGTTCTCCAAAAGGTGTGTTTCGTGCTCATATTATTATATCTTCAATCGAAGTTGTATATATGTCGGAGTTGACTCTAAAATCCAGTTGTCTTTAAAAGGCAACTAGTTGACTTTAAAATTTAAGAGTCAACTAGTTGACTTTAGAATCAACTAGTTGACTTTAAAATTGAAGAGTCAACTGGGATGGAGCAAGTTGTCTTTTAAATTTAAGAGTCAACTAGTTGATTTTAAAATCAACTAGTTGACTTTAGAATCAACTAGTTGACTTTAGAATCAAGTAGGATCAAGCTAGTTGATTCTTAAATTCTGATGTCAACTAGTTGACTCTAAAATGAATAATCGTAAACTTTTT